ATTTGGATACATTTTCTAGTTTGGTTCAACAGTTGTAAGTTGGGAAAGTAACAAGCAAGGGTCAACAATAGATTCTATCAGTGAAGCCGAACATATTGTTGCAAGCGGGGCTGTGAAGGAGGTTGTATAGGTGAAATTCATTTAATAGCCTAGAGTAGTTCCCAACACAATGGTGATTCCTTAATCAGAGATGCGAAGGAGATTGTATGGGTGAAGTTCATTTAATACCTTGGAGTAGTTCCCAACAGTACATCTTTGATTCCCTTGTTGCATGGCAACACAATCTCAAGCTAAGGAGCCTAGAGCACATTAGAAGTCAAAGCATATCGAGCATAAGTAATATATATCACTCATGAGAACATGAAGCGTGGGGATATCAAAGTTCAGAAGGCAACATCTATGGATAATGTGATTGACCCATTAACTAATATATTTCAGTAGAAAGTGTTAGAGAAACATGTAGAAAGTATGAGTCTTTGGCTTGTACTTGATTAGAATTAAGTGCAAGTGGGAGCTATTGGACAATGTATGCTCTCAAGTCTAATAGTGTTTGTAAATTGACTATTATTGTGAACAAAAGTGCAATTATTTCATGTCATGTGGTGTGTTTCTGCTAAATTAACCTGTGTACTACATTTTAGGATTATGTTTAAGTCATCATATTTAGTATGTAGTCTAAATGTTCTCAACCAATGGATAGATTTGGGTGGTCAAATCTTGACAAGGTTGACACTTAGACACTACCTAAGTGAGGGAGCAAATAGTCTCATTTACTAGAATTCTGATCCTAAGTGTAGGAATGGGTGTTTGTATGAAACATTGAATTGGGCCAGGATTATTCTTGGGCATTTGGGTATGTAGAATAGCTGAATTATTGTTTAAGGTCCTTGACTTGATAATGATACTCAATCGAATATGTTTCCAGTAGAGCTATTTTTTATATACCAATTAGTGAGATCCTTTTGAGGCCAACATTTGGGTGTGCTTGAGCAATTATAAAGGGAAATCTAAACAAGTTTTCATTATGATAGGATTAACCACTTGATTAGATAAAGAGAATATATCTATGAACATATCATCTTCAGTGGATTAGTCAAAACTCTCGACAATGAATTTCAAAAGTTATTGAGATTTGTTTTGCAAAAGTATATATTTATTTATAACTAATTTATTTTGAAAAGATGTTTGCAAAATAATTCTATCCCGAAATCCATTAATGAGAAGGTGTGACATTAGGCTATGTATCGAGGGAACAAGTCATTCCTTTAATCCTAGTGTTAGATGTTAATGGCTCATAGATCATGTAGCAAATGTCTTATTAAGCCTACAATCTTAATGGACATGCAATTAGAATTGGATCATGAGACTTGGGCACATAGGATGCCTAAGGCCGAAGTATATAATTGGATTGAATTTGGCCTAGTGATATCAACTCAYTTTAAATGAGTGAGTAAACTCTATAGTGGTTCGATCCAATTGGCATGTGGGTGCCATGCCATACAAGAATGCCTTCTCTCCAATTGGCATATGGATCTTTGAATGTTATAGTCTGGTATGATATAAGAACTTGTAGATAGAATTGGTACTATATATAATAAAGTATATATCAATAATAAATAAAATTAAATCAAAATAAAACATAACTAATATACATTAATGTATAAACTTAACTAAAAATTAAGTTGATAATATTACTATTACACTAAAAACAATACACTCATTAAAGCAAAAACAAATATTAATTAATAAAAGTAAAAACAAATAAAATAACTTAAAAGTTAATTAAAACAGTGCAACTATTAATTTTAAAATTAATTTCTAATCATTTAAATTTCATATAAAATAAGAAAAATTAATAAGATAATTATTATAAATAACACAAATTAATACTTTTGAATTTAAAATCCATTTAACAACAAAAAATAATAAAATTAGTATATAACTTAAAAATCAATTAAATTAATGGGCATTATTAATTTTAAAATTAATTCTAATCATTTAAATTTCATTTAAAATAATAATGATTAATAAAATAATATTTATAAATAATATAAATTAATATTTTTAATTTTAAGTTCATTTAACAATAAAAATAATAAAATGATTATAAATTTAACTAAAAATGATTATGAAAAAAAAACTAAAAATAACTCATATATACATACATAAAAATTAATACAATAAGACAAATAATAATACTAAAGTAATAAAAATTAATAATTAATTAAAAATATTATTATACTTATAAATAATATTTTAATATTCTCATTATAAAACTTAAAAATTAAATATAATAAATTTATAATTATGAAGTAATAGAATTTAATTTAAATTTAAAAATGACTAACATAATAGAAAATTCAAAATAAATTAATGTTTTTAATTTTAATAATAACTGTTAAAATTAATTACAATCATATTATACTTAATTTATAAAAACAAATTCTAACATTATTAAAAAATTTCAAACAATAATAATCATAGCATAATATTATAACTTAAACTATGAAAAAATAAAAATTTACTAAATAAATTAAAATTTAATAAAGGTAAAAAATGATTAATTTAAATTCAATTTTAAAATAGTAAAAATAAACACAACAAGTTGGGTTTAATACGGGTTTGTCTTAACCCTATCCAAGCCCCTCATTTTGCCACATCATGGATTCTTAGCATTTGGCAACGCCATCTAGCCTCCCACTTTGTTGTCATAATAAAGGCGAATACTTCCTAAACATTATATCTACAGGACAATTAAATATTAATTTATTTTGATATTTTTAGTAATTAATTATTAATAAATACACAAAATTTTAAAATTAATTTATTCATATCAATAATTAATGAAAAATTTATAGTTAATGACATTTACTAAATATTTTTAATATTTAAATATTAATTTATCATTATTATATAAAATTAATTATAAATTATTATTATCTGAAATTGACAATTGATACCTATAAATTTTAGTAGTTTTTAGATAACTATTTATTTTGAAATTTCCAAAAAATATTTTTTTTTCTGAAAAATTCAATAATTTTTAGGTAATTTTAGAAATTATTGATTTTGAAAATTAATTTTGGTAGTAAAAATTATTTATTGAAATTTTCATTTACAATGTTTTTTTGGTTATTGTTAAATTATAAAATGGATAATTATTGGGGAATTTTTATATTGATAATTTACATTTGGTAATTATTAAAAGTTTCTATAATTATCGGCAATTTACATTGATTTTTGGTATTTATTGGGAAACTTTAATTTTGTGATTTCCATTAACTAATTTTCATGTTATTCATCAAACAAAAAACATAAACTAATTTTCATGTTTTTGGTAATTTAATTTCATGAAATTTAATTTAAAAAATCTAATTTAGTAAAAGTTTTTAATATTTTATGTAATTAATTGCTCATAAATTTTTGATTTTTTTAAAAACTTATGTATTCATATCAATTCAGAAATTCATTTATAATTTTTTTTCATATCAATATTTGTACTAAGTACTTTTAAGATATGAAAGTTTTTCTTTCTATAATTTATTAATTTAGTTTTGATTATGCCCTACCAAAGTGTCAATTGGTTGGTTGTGGTAAGGTCTTAGGATTGAATCGAGCTTAAACTAGGATTGGGGGACTATGGGTTTGGGGATGATCACCTTGGTTGTGTAGCATAGCCCCTAGGAACAACAATTTTAAGCCTTTCCTCTACATTATTTTGTCCTTTGTAGAAAGAAAAAAAAAATACCCTAACATTTTAAAGATTATAATAAAATTAATTAACATTTTTATTTTTTTTTGCATGACCAATAAAATCTATACTATATATAAAAGTGTGGATGCAGTCAAAGTTTTTTTAGATTAAAATTATACTTTATTTCTTTGTTTGAGAAATGGTATAAAAGTCATTTCATTACACCTTTAGTTGCTACTTAAATGCCTATATTTAGTCTATTTCTAATTGTAAATAACTTCAATTATTACTTTCCACCTTATTTAATTCACTCTCATTAAATTTTATACTTATGTATTAATTCTCATTTTCTATTATTAAATTCTATATTTAAGTTATTTTTCACTAATAAATGATATTAATTAGATCAATGTCAATATTTTTTTAATAAATGTAGCTAATTATTTCTATGCAGATATTTTTAACAATAAAAACTCATATATTTTAAAACTGATTCAAAAACAAAACCATTATTTATCCAAGTAGTGAATAAGCAATTCAACCATCCAAATCAAATTGATCAACCTATGAAATCATAGTTATGTAATAAAATTTTTAAAATAGAAATAAATTTAAAAATTAAAAAAATATAAAAAAAGTACACATTTTTTATATTTTTATTAGTCAAATTAAAAAAAAGTATAATAAACAATAATTATTTTTATTGATAATGAAAATAAAATATATATTTTAAAACTGACAAAAACTGAAATTATTTTACTTTTTTTTTGCAAAGATCAATAATTCAACTTTTGGGTAAAATGTGTTTATCTTTAATGTCATAAATAAATAATAAAAAGCAATAAATACGAAAATAAAAAATGAATAAAATACGTAAAATTTATAAAATAATTAAGCACATGTACAAGGTTTAAATTGAATGCATTTATAATTCTATATTTACACTACTGTTAAAAATATAAATAAGATTATAGAACTTTCTTTTGATTAAAATACTTATTTTTGAATTTAATTTCTATTTAATTATAGGATTTAAATTATAAATTAAACTAACTAATACTTTTCACGTCATTCAATTCTTCCTTATTTTTTTATAAATAAACAATAAAAAGATGAAAAATATATAAAATTTATATATTATTACTATCATTATTATCATCTATAATTGCCACTTACCGATTTCTATAAGACTCTAAACAAAGTTCGTGCATTCCACGGATCTCGAATTTTTTTACTTTTCTTTTTTTTTTTTTTCGTGAGTGAAAGGTCTTGATTAGTTAATTATATATAACTCGAAACCCGTATCCGAGCTGGAAAAATCCTCTCCCGCTGAGTCGGCTGAGATATTCTCTCAGCCCTCTTTTCTGTAAACCCTAGATGACATCATTTCTCTTCTCCATGATCTTAACCCTGGATTTTTAAAACCTTCAAACAGTTGGGGGAAGACGATGGAGAGTGTTTTGACAGCGACGGAGAAGCAGAGCATGGTCTCGTCCTTCCTTGAAATTGCTGTGGGGCAATCAGCAGATACGGCGAGACAGTTCTTGCAGGTCAGTCACATTTGGTTTTCCTTTAACTGTTACTATTTTTTTCCCTTTATTTGAATTGATGCCATTTGGGTTTTGATTCACGACGTGCCAGCTCTTGTAACTAGTTTATGCTTCTATTTTTCTGGTTTTTCTTTATTTGGCAATTTGGGCTAGCTTTATCTATAAATCTGCAGTAGCTTTTCGTCTGGTTAAGTGGCTTCTAATTTGTTCATGGTGGTAAGGGCATTAGACTGCTGTCGACGCCTATTGGTAAGTTTTATTTAAGAGATCCGGTGCTATTTGAGTGAAGAAATTATGAGTTTTTAAGGGATCATGGGAAGAACTATTTCCCAATTAGGCTATAGGCATCGGGATTATGCTCCTATTTTGCGGTTCAACTTCAGTATTGATTTCTTACGCACGTGTAAACCACTCTCTATGTGATTTCGTGAGTGTTATTTTAATAAAAGATAATGCAATTCATCCTTGTGCCAACATCTATGGTTTAATAAGATTAGTTGAATTGGGTTTTTGGTGATTGAAGTGCCCTTAATTCTATATGCTACATAGGACCTTCCGAGGCATGAGAAAAAGTCTTTCATTTGGTAGGCCTAGAGGTACATGTTCTATAGGTAAGTCAGTTATAGTTGTCCAGTAGGATCTTGATCCCTTCACCATGCACTTTGTTTTTGGAGACACTTTTTCATGGGAGAGACATTCCATATGCTTGGCATTACCATAAGCTATAGTTTTCAAGCTGCCAAGGCGAGGCTGGGTGACGGCAGGGCTCCCTTTTGCCTAGTCACTTAGGTAGGCGCCTAGGCGATGGATTTTTTTGAATACAACCATGAATCCTCGAGTAATTTTCTAGGTCCCATTAGCAAGCATCAACTATATTTCACTAGTAATTGTCTATAATCTTCATAAAAAATGTACAAGCTTCATTTAAAACATAGAAAATCAGCATATTCATGAAAACTGGAAGAAAGAAAAGGAATTTCAGAAAATAGAGGGACCGTGTCCTAAGGAAAGAAGAAAGAAATGATGAAAGATGGTGAAGAAGAGAAAAATCAATATGTGTTGATTCGACAAAATGTTGAGTTCTTCCTTGCTTATCAATTTAGGTTTTTAAGGGTTTGTTCGTTTCCTCTTAACTCTTATCTCTTAAGAGGAATATTTTAACTTTAAGAGAAAAATGGTTGTTCGTTTCCTCTTATCTCTTATCTCTTAAAGTGCAATCATACAATTTTTTATTTTACAATGATACCCCCAAAAAGACAAACAAAAACTCTCATATATGGGGTCAAAATGGATATTTAATAATTTTCAGAATTCAGAATTCGGAACAACATTCTCTGCATTTAGAGTTCAGAGGAAAGAAAAAGTTCACCAATACCAATATACCTCTTAATGTAATTATTGCACTTTCAAATGTCAGACTTCAGAGCAAACGAACAGGCCCTAAGTCTTTGAGGGTTCAATATCATACATGTTGATTGAACCCTAACAAATAAGGAAATAATAGAAAGAAACTAATGTTTTAACTCAAATTGAACAATTTAGTTTAATAATGTCTTTTTTATAATAATCTCAAAAAAATATGAAAACATATAATAGAACCATTTTTTAAATACCTTGGAAATTAAGTGAGGCAACCTTCCATGGGTGACTTGTTGCCTAGGTGTTGCCTGGACAACTATGCCATAAGCAAGATGGTTACACGACTGATGTGGAAGATATTTGTGATAGTTACAGAATGGCAAGAATTGTAGTAGGTAAAACAACCATCTTAGTTGGATGCTCTCAATGTCAATGAATGTACACCTTTTTTTTTTTATAGATCAGTATCCTTGTTTTTGACCACTGTGAAATTATTATAGGGGCCATTACTTGGTATTGTGACAAATCTTGGGTTGAAAAGTGTCTGAATGTGGGTTTGAGTTTGAGAGCAGCCAATATATGTAAAAAGTGACAAGCTTATGTCCATATCCAGTCCATCCCTTCCAAACACCAGATAGCCAACTTGATCTAACAAAAAAAGGACTTGGATTTCCATGACCAAAACTGGGTAATGACCCTTTTTTATAGTTATTAAAATCATCAGATTGGGCTCAATTTTTACCACCATAGTCATCAAGATGGTGTTTACAAATTGAGAGGTTTGGATTAGCACAATATTCATAGATTTTCCTGTAGTATCTAGTTTATGGTAGCTTTTTGGCTTAGTGATCCTTTCCTGTATGCTTGGAGGCTCATGAAATATACTCGAAGGAACAAGCACTGTCATTCCTGTCAACCTTGATTTTTAGTTGATCTTTATTATTATTTTTTTGGTTGATATTAGTTGATATCTTATAGTATGCCATGGAGTAATTTTCCATCCTATGGAATCACATGGTGGGATGGTATGGTACAGGCAACAAGCTGGAAGCTTGAAGAAGCTATTCAGTTGTTCTATGTTGGAAATGAAGGTGGAGGACCCTCGTCTTCCCACTCTCCACCAGGAGAAGATGTTCAGCCATTGCCTGAAGAAAGTTCAAGGTAAGAGAATATGCTGAACATCTGAAACTTCTGAAGATGTTGACTCATGCTGACTTGATCTGATTTTTCTCCAAAATCCTGTTTATCTGCTGGTTTCAGTGGACAGGCAAAGGACATTGTAAATGAAAATGTTGGGCAAGATGATGCAAGTGAAGTACGCCCTCCTTTACCAGTGAAAAGAGAGGCTCTTTATGATGATGCTATGCTGTATAGGTATTGTTTGATCCATCTTTCTAATTTATTCTGTTCTCATGAAAATTGTTTGTTGTGCAACATCTTTTAATAACAATTTATTAATTTATAACTTTGGATTCTTACCTTGCAGTTAATGTATTTAGTAAGACTTAGTCTTGTTTATGTGAAACCACAGGGACTCATTGAGTGTTTCATTGGTTTCCTTTTTTCTTTACTTTTTTTCTCTTCATCCTATAATCTTGGCCTTTTAATCACCCATTCCCAAAACATATATTGCTCTTTTTCCATTTTAATGAAAATTCTTTTCTTTTATAATAAAAATTATTCTGGCCTCCCATAGGATGTACATTTTTGCTTTTGGGATGGGATATAGTTCTGGTTTGGGAATTGGAAAATGCCAAGGCCTGAAGCTGATCTGATTATTAATTGGGTTCATGATTTCCAGCACAAGTCTGATAAATTAGCCAGTTTATTCTTTAATATGGTGGTGGTATTACGATTGGTTGAGAGTTGAGACACATTCCATCTTTCCTTTGCTAAATTGCACTTGTGTACTACATTTTTTTCTTATTTTGTTTCTTTGCATTTTATTTTTTCCTACATCTTTATGCTAGACTCTCATTTGCTAACTGCAATTGGTTCTGGTAGAAGTAGTTTGTATGTGATATAGTTTTGATTCATAAAATTTTGTTCTTATGTTCTATATCAAGTACCTATTCCATCATTATTTTATTTTTGCTAATTGCATTTGGTTTTTGTGGAAGTAAGTTGTTTGCGCTTCTATTTTACATTACTAGTTTATTGTTCTTTAGGTCTTCGTGTGCTTCTTTTTGTAGGGTGTATCTGGAAATTTGGGTCACTGTTCATCTTTGACATGTATAGACTGATGTTATCAAAGTATTGACTAGTTGTTTTCTGATGAAAAGTGCATTGGCTAGTTTCAACTGGTCTACTGGCTAGTCAGTTGAGGCAACACTAATTGCATTACTAATTAGTTGGTCAATAGCCATTATGTAATTGCCTAGGATGATTGAGATTGACTAGAATGACTAATGCCTAGTTGACCTAGCCAATCGCTATGTTATTTTAAAACTTTATTTGCTTGTTAGAATCTCTAATATATAAAATAATCATATAATGCTTTTATATTTTAGAGCAATGCTATTTGCTTATCGCATTTCTGGTTGGACAAGGTTGGGGTGATAACATATAAAATAGAAGCGGAAATACATTGCCCCAATACATCAATTACAAGAAAGTGGCAATTATCAATATATATATAATTATAAAATAAGGTATAAATTTAAGAGAAGAAGAATTCTTTTAGGTCTTCTTCCAATCAATGATTGATAATAAATACTCTAAACTAAATGCTCTACATCATTCCTTTATTGCATATTTGCAGTCTGTATTTACTTATATATGAGATTGCATCACTATCTCAAATTTACAATGATTTTTTAGTCTGTTAGTCAGTGCATAGGCACCATTATTTTTATGTGAGAAACCAAAACAACTAGTCATTACTTCACCATATTGACAAATACTGTTACCAACAATTATATCTGATTATTTTTTGACAGTCTTTTTGATATGTTATAAAATTAAAAGCATTCATTAATGGTAAAAATAAAAAAGATGAAACTGCAAAAATTTTACCCCCCCAGTCATGAGTAGAAAGTTGCAGCCAATGAAGCTGGATAGAGACTCGTAACAGAGACTAAAAACAGTAAATGCATTAGCCTGTCATATGCCCCCTCCCCCAAAATACAATGTGTCTTATTACCCTTACTTTTGGAGGTGTTATGTTATTGCATAGCTGTTTCCAAGTGATAACGGATTTCTTCTGTTAGAAGTGCTGACTTGCATTTCCTCTTGTTAATTATGTGTCTTTAAATAATCAAGTCTCTTTCACTTGTTTACTCCAGATCTTCAAGGATGGGATATCCATCACATGAAACAAGTTCCATGATTGCATTTCGTAATTTTGATGAGGAGATGAAACAGCCTGGCGTTTGGGAATCAGACCAAAGTGCTGCATCTACAACAGATAGTCCTCGAGATAATCTTGCTTCTTTGTATCGTCCACCTTTTGCCTTGATGCACCATGGTTTCTTTGAGAAGGTATTAATGGTTTATGATGTTGGAGTTTTTATTTGATCATTTTATTTCAAAGCCTTGGCTATGAAAAGTTATTTGTTTACTCCTGATCAGAAACAATCCATCTCCTAAAGGGATCCTTTCCCTTACAGGCCCCATTCCTCAAGTAAATTATAATCATGGTTCCCTAACCATCTCTAAAAAACTCCCATGGCAGATGACCTTGGGTTGCCAAAAAGCAGCAGTCAAAGTTTAATTCAATCCTCCCTCTTTGGGTGGTTTAGTGGAATTTTCTCAACTTAAGAAGACATTGCGTTGTATTATTATTCTATTTTATTTTCTCATAATGGTTGTTACTTGGATATTGGTTCTTTTCCCCCTCTCCTTCAAGGACTTTGGAAAGGGCATATGATTTGGTTGATTTGTCATTCTTCAATGAAGTGATGAAATGATTTGATTTTGGGGAAAGATGGCGTGAATTGGTTATGGGATGTATACGAACTTGTATGGTAGGGTGGTGTGTTTTTTTCTACCCCCTTTTTGCATTCTTTACCACTAATTGCAAAAGTTCCTCTAGGAATCTGGGGAGAGGATGTAGAATTGATAGAGATGGTTGCAATTTGTAGATGATACTATTCTGTTTTGTGAAGAAGGTGAGGGGGTGGATTCAAAATATGAAATTGGTGGGTGCAACTTTTTGAGATAATTTCGAATTTAAAGGTTCATTTTGAAAAGAGTTGTGTAGTGGGTATCAAATTGGCAGAAGGGGAGGTGGAGAGTTTTGTGATTTTGGGTTGTAGGGTGCTTCAGTGGCCTATGAACTACTTAGGTGGTTTTTGGAATCCAATGATTGAGAGAATTGAGAAAAGATTGGCCTCTTGGAAGAAGAATTATCTTTTATTTGTGGTAGAGTGAATTTAAGATGGATAAATTGATGATTGATTTCTTGTGGGAACTAGGGGAAGAGAAAAAGGATCACAGGGTTAAATGGAAGGTGGTGGGTGGAACCGTGGAAGTAAGGAGTGTGGTGGGTTGTGTTTTAAAAGGCGTTGGAGGCGTATGCCTGGAGGTGCTCCCAAAATGCCCGAGGTGTATGCTAGAGGCTCTGACACCTCTAAGGCTTAC